CCTTCCTTCCGAGGAGTGGCTGGTGGGTTTGAACCGCCAGCCTTCTGGTTAGCAGTCAAGTGCCTTAGGCACTATGCTACCAGAGCTCCTATAACTCAAGATAGGTTTTAATACATATCTTAATTTTCATAGGGAAGAACTATGAGAATGGCTCAGTCAGCTGTTCTTGGTAAAGAAAATATTACTGTGAAGTGGGGAGAGGGAGGAAAGAGAAGGGAAAAGAGGGAAAGAAAAAAAGAAGGGCTGGGAAGGGGAGAAGAGACAAGAAAGGTTGCCTTATTGTACATTTTCAAGCCATAACTGGTAATGAGGTAGTTCTTCTTGTATATTGCTGTGTGCTACTCTAAGCAAAATTTCCCTTCCAAATTCAGAAGACTCCGTGGCATGCCTAAGGACAGTCACCTCCAATTGCTTCACCCTCAGCTAACTCTCTCTCTCTTTCTTGTAACTGCGAGGAGACTGTTGTTGAAATACAACATTTCTAGAACTTCAAAAACAGATACAATACTGTTCTCCTTGTCAAATCTGTCAGTCACTTAGGGAGTGGTCCCTGATGAAAGCTGAAGTTTAGAAGTGACAGCTCTTCAAGCTGAAATTTAGATATTTTCTAGAAGCTCCTTTTAAAAAAATAGAAGTAAAAAATTATTTTCATAGGAATCCTTTCCATTTATGTGGGACCCTTTTACTGAGGACACTGCTGAACACAGTCACTTGGAAAAAAAGCACTGAATTTGGATGGCAAAGTCTCTCACAACAAATAATCTAGGATGATCATTTTTACTTTGATTTGAGAAAAATGCTAGTTTCAAACAGAATAAAACAGAAACAATAGGTAATAAGGAATTAGAAAATATGTCTTAATGAGATCCAGAAGGTAACATAATAGAGAGTGAATGATTTTAGAAAGCTGTTATTAATAATAAGTCATTGTATCCAATCTCATATTAATGAGGTTTTCTTTTCCTCGATGGATACAAGGAGCACTGAGACACAAAGGGCAAGGTTTTTAGAGCAAAGTCACCCTGCCAGGAATGGCAAAATTGGGATTCAGCCCCACTACTAAATCCTAAGCTCTTAACCACTCCATTGCAGGACTGAAGATAGCATTTGGCAAGTCACTGAATGGCTCTCTGATTACCATGGCTTTGTTGGAATGGCCGCCACCTTGGAACTCAATGGTCCCAAAAGCATCTGTTGGGCTGAGTTGAGTGTGCTTGCTGATGGACCATTTCTCAGACTGGATGTCATTTCGGGAGAGGCGACTTTCATTTTTCTCATTTTGAAGAACAGAGATACTGGGAGTGAGGCCGACATGTTGGCCTATCAGACGCCCACAGCAACACCTACAACATAAGAAGACAAAGTCATGCCCTTTTATTAGCCACTGTTGAAATAGACACATCAGGCAAAAGGCTACAGAAATCTATAATGCATAGTGACTCATTTCAGTCAATTCTCAGGAAGAGTCTCCTATATGGGTGTATCATGCAAATGGTGCACTAACTGACTTGACATGGTTTTTTTCTCTCCCCCTTCCACATTTTCCTTTAGCTGTATAAGCTATAAAGCGCCTCCTGCTTCACTCTGCCCTCTTGTTTTTACACCTGGCATATTGTTCAGGATTGAATACTTAAAAACAAAAGTCTTCTAGATTTTTCTACTTCTCTTTCCTCCCACCTATCAATTCTTGCACAAAGGACACAGTACAGTACCGAGGGAAGAATTTTAACATGTACATTTAAATAACAAATCTAACTCATATGTGAGTCATGACCTAATTTGTCTCTTCTAAATTGACACTCACTGTCACATATTCAATACCAAGAATAAAAATCTGCAGGCTTAAATGTTCTTAAAGAAACAATGAAAAGTTATTCATGAGATATTTGAAAACTTAAAATGCACTCCTTCCATCATGAAAATATCCTTCAAACATTACTGCCACTATTACTAGAATCAGTAACAGTAGTCATGATACATAGCTACCATTTATTAAATATTACATGCCAAGGTGGGAGCTCTGGTAGTGTAGTGCCTAAGGTACTTGACTGTTAACCAGAAGGCTGGTGGTTCAAACCCACCAGCCACTCCTCGGAAGGAAAGTTGGGCAATCTACTTCTGTAGTGATACTGCCTCAGAAACACAAGGAGGGGTCACTATGAGTCTTGTCCAACTCACAGCATATAACAACAACAACAACATATGCCAAGGTATTATTACCCATTTTGTTGATGAAATAATGGCAGTTTTAAGATTAGAAACTTCCCTAATATTACACAGCTAGTCTATATGACTCTATATCCATATTTTAGAATGTTTTATTGTATTATCTGTTCATAAAAAAAACATTTCCAGACATTTATATGCTACTTTATTCCAAATGCAGTAACTGACCTATAAGACACAGTAGAACTGCCCCATAGGGTTTCCAAAGCTTTTTTCTTAACAGAAACAGACTGCCACATCTTTCTCCTGCAGAGAAGCCTGGTGGGTTTAAAATGCTAACCTTTTGGTTAGCGGTTGAGCTCTTAACCACTGTGCCACCAGAATTCCTTAGTAATCTGCTAGGAGTTATTTATTTAAAAGTCGTCTTTCCACCATAGCAGAGCATGTTGGTACAAATCAAGCATTTTTTATGAAATGCTTAGTAAGGAAAATCAGTAACCATACTAAGAGAAATATCCCACTGTTACTTAGTGATTTAATTCCTCAATGGCATATCTGTTATTCTATACAGGCTCTTGGAGAATTAACTACAGACATAGTATATTATGGGTTGGGTATATTCACAATCACTTTAAAGATGTTCAATGACAAGAAATGATCTTCAAGTTGACAATAGTCCCCTTACAATAGGTAGTAATTACCATTAGAGTTTAGTTCCCACAATTACTACTTCATGTTCTCTCTTTATTATAAAAGGAACTCTGGTGGTGTAATGGTTAAGGCATTTGGCTGCTAACCAAAAAGTTGGTGGTTCTAACCCACCAGTAGCTCTGTGGAAGGAAGATGAGGCAGTCTGCTTCCATAAAGATTCACAGCTTTGGAAACCCAATGGGGGTCCTGTGAGTCAGAATCAACTCATTGGCACTGTTTATATACATACATACATATATAATAAAGATAGTAAGATTACCTATGGGGGTCTTTGGTGCTGGGTATGATGTGAACACATTCTCTTTTATAAAATGCTCTCTCTATCCAGGATTTCTGAGCCTAGAAAAAAATAAAAGGAGGAAGTTGAACATAACTTTTAAATATTTTTTACTAAGAAGCAAAATTTCATAATCACATCATAAACTAATATCTTATTAACTGAATTGAAATTGCGGTACTACACACATCAACACTGCACATAACAAAATACCTTACTCTCAGAACCTGCTGCTTAGGTTGTTTCACATCGCACGCTGGGAGCCAAAGGGAGTGGTCATAACGAAAGAGTGTTAGTGATGACACCGTATACAAAACTCATGATTATTGCAGAAGGATAGAAAGACAACAGCATTTACAGAGGAAACAGGAGGACAGAACAGTATATTTATAACTCTACAGAAAACAAGGAATATTCAGCGTTGGGAGAAGTACACCTACGTAAGCTTAATGTCTTCATGGTTGACACTTCTATCTGATCTTCCTGGTAGAAGAAAATGAAAATGGCCAGGCAACTGTATAACTCAATAGCCCTAATTCATTAACATGCTTTTCTAAAATCCAAATCAGTGCTTATGTACAAGCAAAAAAAAAAAAAGGAAATGGAAACGTAGGGAAGATAAAGGTCTCATCACAGTTCCAAATTTCACAGGTAGTGCCTTTTCAAGGAAGTAAGATAGACCATTTTTGCATCTCACATGCCCTTAAGCATAGCAAACAGAGCTTCTTAGAATGTCCACCTAGGAGTCCTGGCGCTGAGATCGGGTTCCCAGAGAAAGGAAGTTCCGGCAAACTGTACAATCTTTGTTCCAGAGCACAGTGGCATCCTGAATCCCTCTACTCTTTCTTTCTCAGTATTTGAAATACTAGAGGCATCTCCTGTGAAATCTGGAAAGCCCCTCAGAAGACTCCTTCTCTAAGAATTTCAGATGGAAATTACTGGAACAGCTTACAATATTATTTCTGCATAGTATCATCTTTCTAACTTGGCATCAGAACTAAGTTCACATACTTAAGATATACAGGGTTACAGCAAAACTGAGCTGTTCACTTGCTGTGTCTCAATGGTTGGTGTTAACTGTTGCAAACCCCCATTCTTTTGCCATAACTGGTATTGACTCTGCCAAAGGCTCAAATGTTGGTATAAACCATGCTATGCCCTTATTTACCCTCAACCCATAAATCTTGCATCCCTCTCTTCCTTTACACTGGAGGTCTACTTGAGCATTTGACGCAGAAAGGCAGGATTTGTCTAATTATCATGACAAAGCATGTAGTAACATGGCCTGTACACTAATGTTCATTGAGACACTATTTACAAGAGTCAAAAGGTAGAAGCAACTGAAATGTTCATCAATAGATGAAGGGGTAAACAAAATGTGGTAAATACACACAATGGGATATCACTCAGCCATAAAAAGAAGTGAAGTCCTGATGCACGCCACAACACGGATGGACCCTGAAAACATGCCGAGCAAACTACGTCAGTCCCTAAAGGACAAGTACTGTATGATCTCATTTATGTGAAATAAGCCAATAAATAGAAACCAAAGATTACTAGTAGTTACCAGGTATAGAAATGGAGGGGAAATGGGGGTGTTATAGCTTAGGGGGCAGTGAGTTAATGCTAATGATGGTGGAATGATATGGCAAAGGATAGTGAGCGAGAATGGTTTCACAACTGGAAGAATGTAATCAATGTCACTGACTGTACATGTGGAAATAGCTGAAATGGCATATGTTTTATTATGTATATTTTAACCACCACCACAATAATAATAATAATAAAGAAGCAACAGAGAGGATGAGTGAGGGCACAGAGGGACTGCATCCTACTTAAATCATGGTTATAATCAAGGTGTCTAATTCCTGAGGGCTCAGCCACATCCACGTGAAGAGGCATTCTCACAGTGTCTTAAGGATCCTTGTGTCCATTTCACTCTCTTTGCCCTCACACTGCAAAGGTAACATTTGCAATTCTGTTGGATGTGATAAGAGTGCCAGCATCTATTCACAAAGCTTATTCTTCTCAAACTTGTAAGAAAAACAAATGGCTACCTCTTTGCAACAGAAATGAGCTTAGTTGAACAGATAGCCAGTCTTTATCTTTGTAAAAAGCCCGAAAGTTAAACTATTCATACACTGTGATTTTCTCTGGGCACCGAATACTTTCACTGATAATATCTTTTGGCAGAAAGAAGATAAAATACTCCTCACTGGATATTTGAAACCCGGTTTCTCTCCATCTCAGGGAACAGAAAAGAGAGAGTGCACTTTGCATTTTCCTTCATGGCCCACTTTGACCAGCATTCTGAAGGCTCTTTTGGGAGAGTAAATGGGAATTTCAGAAGTGCTGGTCAATACTCCCCTGGAGAAAAGCTTGCCCTGAGTTGTAATTGACTCAACAAAAACTTGGTTTTTCTTTTTTGTGTGTGTATGTGTGCAGAAGATGAAGTTTTCCAGGAGAAAAATGGCTTTACTGAGACTGTGGTATGGACAAAGTCATGTAATTTCTCTGAGCCTCAGTTTTTCTCATCTATAAAATGAGATACAACACTAATACATCGGTAGGTATCATAACTTCCCTTGAAGAAGAGGAGATACGTACTAGGTTGATTCTTGTACTAAAGGTTCAGATGAGGATTCAGAAGAGGACAGGATGAAATCAACATGGCAGATTTAATCAACATTGATCTTCCTTTGTGTCAAAACTGACAGACTACCAGACCTGGCTCTCCACTAGCAAGATATATAGAAAAGTTATTTAACTTCTTTGAGTCTTTTTGCTGTGGTGGCGTAGTGCTTAAGGCATTTGACTGCTAACCAGAAGGCTGGCAGTTCAAACCAACCAGCTACTCCTGGGAAGGAAGGTTGAGCAATCTACTTCTGAGGTGATACTGCCTTGGAAACCCAAGAAGGGGTCGCTATGAGTCGGATCTGACTTGATAGCAGTAAGTGAGTGTGAGTGAGTCTTTTCTCTAACATGGGGATAACCAAAACTTCTTTGAGTGTTGGTGTGATAATCAAAGCAGATTAAGATACCTGCATTTAATAGTCCCTTAGTGGTACAAATGTTTAAGCACTCAACTACCAGCAGAAAAGTTGGTGGTTTGAGCCAGGACTTACCTGTTCATTCCAGTTTGACTCCTGCTGATAATTTACATTTCCACCCCAAATATATTGAAGCAGAATGTCCATTTTGACAAGATCTCTTGTCAACGTGAGAATCACTAGGGGGATCTTGTTAAAATGGAGATTCTATTAAAATTTTTAAACTAGGGTGGAAACAAATTCTCAGCAAGGAGTCAAACCCCAAATGAACTAGTTTGAAGCCCTGATATGAATCCACCCAGAGGCACCATGGAATACAGTCCTGATAATGTGCTCCTGAAAGATCACAGCTTTGAAAACCCTATGGAGCAGTTCTACTCTGTACACATGGGGTCGCCAATGAGTCAGAATCGACTTCATGGCAACTACCACTGGTAGCATAGTGGCTAAGACACTTGCCTGCTAACCAGACGGCTGGCGGTTCAAACCCACCAGCCACTCCTCGGAAGGAAGGTTGGGCAATCTACTTCCATAGTGATACTGCCTCAGAAACCCAAGGAGGGGTCGCTATGAGTCAGGTTTGACTCAACGGCACATAACAACAACAACAACAACCACCACCACCACCACCACCACCAACAACAACAACAACGTGCACTTAGTAGGAGGTCAGTAAGTAATAACAGGGACTACCATTGAGTGCTGCTAGCATAGTGCCTAAGGCACTTGACTGCTAACTGGAAGGCTGGCGGTTCAGACCCACCAGCCACTCCTCGAAAGGAAGGTCGGGCAATCTACCTCTGTAGTGATACTGCCTCAGAAACCCAAGGAGGGGTCGCTATGAGTCGGGTCCGACTTGACGGCACATAACAACAACAACAACATTAATTAAGGAGCTCTGGTGGCCTAGTGCCTATGGCATTTGACTGCTAACCAGAAGGCTGGCTCATCATGTGCCCGTCATTATATAATGCATACATTAACTCTATGGGTCCACATTAAGAACTCTGTGAGCAAAGAACTGTTACAGTTAATTTACCAGTAAAAAGATTGAATGAAGGGATGTAGCAAATATGTTTTAAACCTAGGATTTGAACTTGTACAGTTTGACTCCAGAGTTCATACTCTGTACCCACTTTGCTAAACTGCCTCTCCAAAGCAGACATTATTGATATTAACTAAACTTTATATAGGCAGTGCCATCTATGCATGCCAGGGAATGCCCCGGTACATGGGCAGAGTTGGACTTCTAAAGGCAAGGCTTAGAACCAGTTCACACTTGCTGTCTTTCCTATCCTCCCTTTTCCCTTCCAGTACTCACAGAAATATGCATGTGGAGTAATAAGCACTCTGCTATCTGACTCTGCCTCTCTTCTTGAGCTTAGAGATGGGGATGGGACATTAGGAAGGCATAAGAATAGGAGAAAAAAGTGGAAATAGGATCATAATGGCTGCAGCAAATAAATAACAGGGCTACTAACTTGAAAATCTGAAGGACCAGGGCAACTGGAGTAGACTTTTCACAGACACCTTCATTACTTTTCTTGCTCATAAATCTCAGTTTCAATTTGGAAAACCCTGTACATTGCACTCAGATGGTGTTTAGGAAGCATTACTAGATATGGATTGCCAACTCGTTTGTTAGTCTTTAAGCATAAAGTAATTTGACTTCTGTGCAATGTAGCAACTTAATTGCCTTCTTACAGGTGAAAAGCTACCTCACTGTTAGCAAATGGATTGAGAATCAAGTGTCTATTTGTCACTATTAACAAAGTAAGGAAGGTTGGCAATCTACTTCTGTAGTGATACTGCCTCGGAAACCCAAGGAGGGGTCACTATGAGTCAGGTCTGACTGGACGGCATGTAACAACTTGCAAAACCACAGAAAATTTGAAAGAAAATGAAAATATAATGTAAAAAAAATTGTTTTATATCACTCATAATTGAATTGGCTGCTTTTTAGAAGAAAAGTATAATACATAATAGAAAGAATGCATGTGTAACACATGAAT